CCACCTTCTGGAAACGATCAAAGTTCAAGTCTCCTTCAGAGAATGGATATTCAAAGTCTATAGAACCATCAAGTCTGATCTGCATTTTGCCGTAGATGACTATCCAGACTCTGCTGTGGATTAATCTCTTGTAATAGTATAGGCCTGCACTAGCAATTTTCAATTCGTTCATTGATGTAATTCTTTTTCAGGGGATGAGTTTAATTTCCTCTTGTATTCTTTCATTAGTCAATTTCTTGCACCCATTTGTCCAAATTTACTTTTTCATACTTAGGGGGAGATTGTTAGCTTTATTATTCATCTCTTATAAAAGTATAGAAAAAGTATTCTGCAAGTCTTGACAGAAACTTATCTTCCACAGAAGACAACAGAGGACTAACGACAGAAGCCTTATATTCGAGCAAGTAAAGTGTGACAGAACCTCTGATGTCTCTCACAGAGGTTCTGGAAAATGGTCATTTGTCAATAAGAACAAGCAAGTCAATTGCTGCAATGCCTCTGAGATGGATCACAGAGGGTTTGCGAATTTCGTCTTTTGTGAAGATCCTCTTCCAACTGTTTTTCAGTGGTTATTAGCTGCATGTGCTTCACACGTGACTAGGACTTAATCAACTTTATTTGGATGGCTTAGATGATTTCACGCATCAAGATCTTGTCAGTAAGGTCGTTAGGAACTAGTATAAATAGCGGCTAAGGCCTTTGTATTCAGTGTGCTTCCGAATTGTAATCATCTTATTTTCAATTGAATTGAAAAACCTTTGAGGCAATTCTCCTGTGTTCATCTTCTTCCTTATCTTAACTGTGTGTTCTTGGTTTATTTTACTCTGTTTTGTTCTTAATATTGTTTTCGCTGCACTTTAATCGTTTTAAAGTTCATTCAGAGTATTAGATCAAATATCAAAGCTGAATTTATGGTCCAACAGTATCCGACATGAAACACATCGTGTATCCCCATGAGTTCCTCCGGTAACTCTAGTTGATAAGCTTGTTTTTTGATACGCTCCAATACTTGGAACGGGCCAATAAATCGTGGACTTAACTTACCTTGTTTTGGGAATCGAAGTACACCTCGCCAAGGAGAAACTTTCACCATTACCATATCACCCACCGAGAACTCGATTGGCCTTTTGCGACGATCTGCATAAGACTTTTGACGATCTTGGGCAACTCTCATTCTTTCGCGAATAATCTGAATTTTGTCATGAGTGATCTGAATCAGTTCGGGACAAACTAAAACTTTCTCTCCCGTCTCTCGCCAATACAAGGGTGTATGACACTTACGTTCGTATAAAGCCTCATAGGGAGCCATTCCAATTGTGGAGTGGTAGCTATTGTTGTAAGAAAACTCAACCAAGGGTAGGTGAGTATCCAGCTACCACCAAATTCTAAGACACATGCGCGTAGCATATCCTCGAGAGTTTAAATGGTTTGTTCTGATTGAGCATCGGTCTGAGGATGATAGGCCGTACTAAATGCATGACGTGTTCCCAACTCTCGTTGAAATCTAGTCCAAAAATTAGAAGTGAATCGAGAGTCGCGATCAGAGATAATCTTCACTGGTACACCGTGTCGTGAGACAACTTCATCAATGTACAACCGCGCCCATCGATCCATAGAGTAAGACTCTCGGACAGGTAAGAACAATGCAGATTTGGTCAATCGATCAACTATCTATACTACATATATAAGCATTTAGGTCATTATCTTAAATACAAGTTCTTAAGCATAAGTTACAACCATTTTATGCAAGATTTTCAAAAAACTCTTAAAGACAAGTCACAAAGCACAATGTACAACCATTTTATACATACAATTCCAAAAACTAGGAAAGTACAACCACCAACACCACCAAAGTTGAAACTTTCAGTTTCACTTTTTTTAGTTGAAGCTTTTTTCATCTCTCTTTACAGCTTTTTTCATCTTGAATGGCCGTTGTTTGGGTGGATTTAGGTTCATCATTACTACAATCAAAAAAAGAATTTGGGGGGATGTGGCTTCTTCCCCACCATCCTTCACAGTACACGGTTTTCTTTTTCTTTTCTCCCATATCTCTCACCTTTTCCAAAAACACCAAATTATTCCTACTTGAAAATCTGTCTCCATTGACAACTTTGTCATGCAAAAAATTCATGCAACCCTAATCTTGATTATTTTCCCATTTTTGCTACCCACAAGTGAAAAAAACAGAAAACATAAAAATACATTTTCTTTAATAATATTATAGAAACTAAAAGAGGATATATATATATATATATATGTGTGTGTGTGTGTGTATGTGTATATCTATGTATATTGAAGCATTTGAATATATGGAGGAGGGGGGTAGGGTATGGCAGTGCAAGTAATGTGTTGATTTGTCAGTCAAAAACACATCGGTTGTTTAACCAAAGTCCAAAAGGATGGAGCAATTACTTTACCCTCTTGCTCACATAACCTCTATAGTTGCTTAGGTATAGATCAAAAGATACCCTATTGCTATTGCTATTGCTATAATCCATAAGCAATCAACAGTAAAAAGTAAGTAGTATATGGTGTGTAATTGTGTATTATAGACCCATATAGACATTGAAAATTGTAGACATTGACATCTGTTTTGTCTTTTTGCCTTTTGTGAAGATAATCTATCTTAGATTTTCTCTCTCTCTCTATCTCTCTCCATCTCTTGCAGTTTTAAACAGACCCTCTTTCATAACTTCCATTGCCATCTTTGTGGATCTCTTTTGGAAGGTTTAAAACTCAAGAAATCAAACATAACCACAAATATCCCTCAAAGAAGTGAGTATTACAGAAAGAAGACATGGATGCAATTAATGAAGCATAGATGGATAGAAGAAGTGGGGTTAAGGATCAAAATTTATAACTTCTTCATGGGAAAAAGAAAGGGTGTTGTATCCGTATTTATATCATAATCAGACTAAATCATACATTAAATACTACAGTAAATTGGCTTTATAGTATGTTTAGAATGTGTTAGGGGCCCTTTACTAATCGCTTACCCAGTAAGTGTTTAACCGGTAATTTTCCTTAGAGGATGAACTGGGCAAAGGTCAAAAATCTTACCCGCTAAAAGCAACGATAAAGATGGAGAGTCTTACTCGGTAAGTGAGAGTGACGACTCTTACCCGGGTAAGTGCTTACCGGGTAAATTGTTGCATATGATACCATTTTGATATACTACAATCTTACCCGGTAAAATAAATTATAGTGTTGTCTCTTAAGGGTAACCACTTACCGGGTAAGCATTTAGGTAAACGGTCCCTAAGTGTCCCTAGTAAAATATTTTATAGAACATAAGTTTACAGAACCGAACTATAAATCATCTCATCTAAAAGCGTTATAATAAGTTTATAGGACGCCTTTAGGCATCATAACAAGTTTTTTAGGACATTTTTTAAATAAAATGTTCTATTAACTATTTTTGTAGGACACTTTTGAGAAATGTCCAACAAACCCATCTATATATAGAACATTTTTTCAAATATTGTCATAAAATAGCTAATACCATATTTTATTTGTGAAACATTGTAAAAAAAAACTTGTTAAAACACTTTAAAGTGTCTGTAAATCTATTGTAACATTTTTAGATAGGATGTTTTTTGGTTTGTTCATATAAATTTAAGTCTTATAAAATATTTTATTAGGATATTTAGACATTTTTGACGTCGTATAAAACTAATTTTATTGCAGTGAAAAATGTAAAAAAGTAAATTCTTATATTGATATGTACAAGGAGGAATGTAAGAAGAAAATTAGTAGGTAAAAATACAATTAAGTTGACATAAAATAAAGGGTAAGGGTGCAAGTTTCATTCTTTAAATATCCAAGTCAAATCTTGATAGATGCTATTCTTGTCCCATCCTACACACAAACATAACTCTATAATATAATAGTTTGTAACCCTAATCAAGATTTTCTGCACTTTTCTGAGCAAGAAGAGTTTTAAAAATATACCAGAAATTGCATATAAATGAAAATTATATATTACAAAACATATATCTATCTATACCACATTAATAAACATTTTAACCAGAATCTTAAGTACAAGTATTTAAGCATAAGGTACAATCATTTTATGTAAAAATTTCAAAAATCTCTTAATTACAACTCATAAAGCATGATCTACAAGTTTTTAATACAACCCCATCAATATCACCCAAACTGAAAGTCTCCCAAAAATGTTTCATGGTCTCAGCTCTTGGAGGTTTTCTCAGACTTCAACTAAATTTAAATTCAAATTTTTGTAATGAGTTCTGAGTATATGAGTTTAGAAATTCAATAGATGTGCAATTATTTTTCCATTCGATCTTGTTAATACACCGTATTAACCTTCAACTTTATATATTAGTTGACTTGCAAAATAACCACACGAACTTATAATTCAAGGATAAATTAATGTTTCAGAATTGTGATTCACCCGCGCTGCATCGTGCGGGTATACCCCCTAGTAACCCAAATACTGTCGTGTTGTAGTTGGGTCTTCGGTAGTTTAGTAACCAGATCCATCGTTAATTCCTCCCATTTCCACATAGGTACCTCAAGAGGCTGTAAACTACCATACGGTTTCTGGTGTCCAGCCTTTACTTGTAAGCATGTGGTATATTTCTCAACATAACGTCCAATATCAGTCTTCATTTCAGGCCACCAGTAATCTAAACGAAGATCTTGGTACATTTTAGTACTCCCTGGGTGTATTGATAATCGCGACTTATGTGCTTCTGCTAAAACAACATCTCGCATGCCGCCAAGTTTGGGGACCCAGATTCGGTTCATAAAGACCTTCAAGCCACGTTCATCTTCAGAGAGAGAATCAATGTATTGCATGGCTGCGTGAGAGAATCAATGTATCCTACCATTCGTTCTACTTTGACATTCTCAGGCTTCAAAGCCTCAATCTGCCATTTCTGAATCTCATCAAATAGATTATTTTTAACCGACGTATGAATGATAGAGTAGCATAAAAGTCCAGAACGTGTCTTCCTACTCAGAGCATCTGCCACTACATTGGCTTTACCCGGATCATATAGTATCTCATACTCGTAATCTTTGATGAGTTCCATAGCACGTTGTTGACGCATGTTCAAGGTCTGTTGATCAAATAAATACTTTAAGCTCTTGTGGTCAGTATAAAGTTGACACTTCGTACCATAGAGATAATGTCGCCAAAGCTTCAAAGCAAAGACCACTGATGCTAATTCAAGATCATGAGTAGAGTAGTTCTTCTCATAATCTTTCAATTGACGAGAAACATATGCAATCACCTTGCCTCGCTGCATCAAGACACATCCAAGACCAAGTCGAGATGCATCACTATATACTATAAAGTCTTCGTTACCCTCAGGTAGAGCAAGTATAGGCGTGTGTGTCAGACATTCCTTTAAAGTTTGAAATGCTCGATCTTGGGCCTCATTCCATTCAAATTTAGCATCTTTACGAGTCAAAGAGGTTAGTGGTACTGCGATCTTAGACAAGTCCTTGATGAATCGTCGATAGTACCCTGCCAGACCCAAAAAACTCCGAACTTCCGAAGCATTCTTTGGTTGCTCCCATTCTTGAATTGCTTCGATCTTGGCTGGGTCTACAGAAATACCGTCTCTGGATACGGTATGCCCCAAGAATTGTACTTGGCGAAGCCAAAATTCACATTTCGAGAATTTTGCATAGAGTCGTTCTTTTCTCAACAATTCTAGCATTTGWCGTAAGTGTGAAGCGTGTTCGTTTTCGGACTTTGAGTAGACCAAAATATCATCAATGAATACGATCACAGACTTGTCGAGCATAGGATAGCATACTCGATTCATTAAGTCCATAAATGTTACAGGTGCGTTTGTAAGTCCGAATGGCATTACGAGGAATTCATAATGCCCATAACGGGTCCGAAAAGCAGTCTTGGGTACATCGTCCTCCCGTACCTTGAGTTGGTGAGAGCTAGAATGTAAGTCAATTTTAGAAAAACATCTCGCTCCTTCCAATTGATCAAAAAGATCGTCAATTCGCGGTAATGGATATTTGTTCTTTATAGTTACCTTGTTAAGCTCACGGTAATCTATACACATCCGAAAAGTTCCGTCTTTCTTCTTAACCAACAGGACTGGAGCACCCAAGGAGATGTGCTTGGTCGGATAAAACCCTTGTCCAATAATTCCTGCAGTTGTTTCATCATTTCTTTCATTTCCGCAGGTGCGAGACAATATGGTGTCTTTGCTATCGGAGTTGCACCCGCTATCAAGTCTATACGAAATTCTACTTTACGATTGGGTGGCAATCCAGGCAGATCATTCGGAAATACATCTGGATATTCACAAAAAATAGGAACGTCCTTCACCGTCTTCTTCAATTCTTTCGCCGCATCCGTAACGTAGGCTAGAAAAATTGAGCAACCCTTGTTTAGATAACGACGAGCTTTTAGCATAGAGATTACCTTTATGTCGGTCACACACCGCTCCCCGTAAATGTATAGGTAATTCCCCTCGCTAATTGGTATTCGAATCATTTGTTGTGAACATATGATGTTGGCTTGATTCTTTGCCAACCAATCCATACCAATAACAACATCGAATCCATGTATATCAATTGGAATGAGATGATAAGAAATTCATAGTCATCTAAAAGCAATGTACACTCTCTAAATACCTTATCAGCAACTAATGGTACTCCGCTCGTAGTGTCAATAGTGAAAGGTTTTTCAAGCATAGTAGGCACAGATTCAATATAGCGGACATTGTCATTTGACACAAAAGAATTTGTTGCACCAGAATCAAATAAAATACGAGCAGGCAAGGAATTAACAAGAAATATACCCGTAACAACATCGGGATCGTTCATGGCTTCCTTCGCAGTAATTTGAAATGCCCTGGCCTGAGGTTTCGGAACCTCCTCCTTTTTGGTAGAAGCCCCCATTGTATGTATCAATCGTTGTCTTGGTTGTTGTACCAACCCCTTACTTTCCTCCAGTCTATTATTTGTACATTCTCGCATACGATGACCTAACACACCACAATTATAACATGCCTTTTCTCTTTGAGGGTACTGAGTTCTTATGTGCCCAGCTTCACCACAACAGAAGCATCATATATAAGTTTGATCACCACTACATCGTCCCTGGTGATTCTTGCCACATCGGTTGCAGTTCTGTGGCATATTTGACTGCATTGTATAAGCCTATGAGGTAGTATGTGGTGTATTATGCGATTGAGCTCGTCTCGACTTGAAGAATCGAGATGATTTAGATGTCGGGGTCGAGAAGGTTCTCTCAACTCTCGATTGTTTCTCTGGTACATCAGAGCCATCAGGGAGACTCAGGTCATGCTCCCGTTTCCTTGCATACTCAACTGCTTTGGTAAATGATGGTACGTCGCKATTGGTGACGAATTCGMGAATATTCCGTCGAAGACCGTTGACGAAATGATTAATCTTGTCCTTTTCRCTTGGTAYGAACYGTTGGGCAAACTGAAGCTTCCGATTGAACTCTGTTTCATATTCAATCACCGACATGAATCCSTGTTTGAGCTCTAGGAATTCCTTCTCAAGCTTTTGTTTCAAATCATCCGGACAATATTGTTCGAAGAACAACACTTGAAACTTTTCCCATGTCGTTCCATCCCTAGTATTAGGATCTATTGATTGATATGTGGCGTTCCACCAAGTGAGTGCATGATCGGTAAATGTCATTGTAGCATAACGTACTTTATCATCCTCCTGTATGTAAACAACACTGAATACTTTTCAGTGTTTTCGGCACATTGCATTGCAAGTACTGGGTCCGTCTGTCCCGAGAACTTTGTAGCGCCACTACTTCTAAATGTTTTAAAAGAAGGTCGGTCCGACCTTGGTTTGGATACGTCTTCATTAACCGGCTTCAGTCCTTGGACAACCGGATTCTGAGCATTAACTGGATTTTGCACTTCAGATAACTTTCTTTCAAACTCTATTCTTTATTCTCGTAGAGCAGCCCGTGTTTGCTCATTCATTGTTTTCAATAACCTCTCAGTACGAGGTGATAGTTGGGCTTCATCGTCATTGTCCACATTTTCTTGGACATTCCCTTCAAGATTGAGGTTTTCATCCTCAATTTCTTGAGGAACCGGCACGTTGCTAGATGCATCGTGATCATACATCACACTGAAATTATAATACATATATATATAGGGGTCAAATAATATTTTATCCCTTGTAACCCAACAAATCCTAGGTCTCTCTTATTGGTCCATATCCCATATAATCATAAACTAGTCACTATATATTGTCAGTACCTAAGTATAATCATAACCTAGTCACTATACAATGTCAATACCTAAGTTTGAGTCTGAATATCATTAATGATATCCAGTTCACTCAAACCACAGCTCTGGTCTCATATCTGTAACGTCACGCTCGAGCAAACCCCAAATTACCAATTCCTATAAAATCTCCAATATAATACAATTTATTGATTATTGGGACCAAAATTGATCCTAAATTATTCTAAAAGTTTTGTCAAAACCATCTGAACCAAGGATGAAAAATCTGAAAATGCTGCTAAAAAGACGAGTCTGGAGGAAGACCAGAGGCAATGGTTGGACCAAAGGCAATGGTTGGACTAGAGGCAATGGTTGGACCAGAGGCAATGGTCCAGAGGCTGCTGAAATGGCTCTGTCTGGAAGAAGACCAAAGGCCATGAAGGACTAGAAGTAAGACTATGAAGGACCAGAGGCCATGAAGGACCAGAGGCGAGGCTATGAAGGACCAGAGGCAATGGTTTAGAGACCATTCAATGGTCCAGAGACTAACACCTTGAAACACACAAATCTGGGCATAACATTAATTAACCTTAAAATATGGGATATTAATTTCTAGAAAAACATCGAAATATCCATTCTATTTTAGTGATAAAACCACCCAAAACACGATTCCAAACCGGATATAACGGATTTTTACTTACAACCCAAATTAAGTAGCCAAAAGAATACGGAACAAGACTATATATATATATAAGCTACTATTTACCCAAAAGCAAGATCGATATCTTCAAGTTCCCTGATAAATTTTCAAGTCAAAAAACAGTTTCTTTTTATTTATCCGTCTTCCTTCCTGAAAAAGGTTGCCACTTAAATGGTAAGCCTACACTTAGTGAGTTAAATAGTTAAGTATTACATATCAATATCACACATGTTTATAAACATATATAATAAACTCTTATCAATAAAAGAGTTCAAGACATCATCCAGATATAAATCGAGACTTACAAGAAACCGAGTGAACCATTACGTACCGGATGCTAAGATCATAGGATTCCATATTCAAATCACCATATTATACCATACCATTGTTGCTCAATACAACAAGGAGACAGGATCAACGACGTTAGAATACCAATAAATATCAAGAACCAAGAGATCAAATCGGTATACATAACGAAGACAGTGCATCACCCCGTCCTTCACCTCCCGGGCTCATGCCAAAGTCCGAGTCAGAATCATACATTACGAAAAACCTCGCACTACCCGCCTTCCTCTACCGGGCATGTGCCAAGGTTCCCTACTCATTGCTCTTCCTCCTTTCTGAGCAATGAGTATTCACAACCGTAGAAAGTCTCACTCGTCCAACCCGAGATCTTGACTTCACCATAAACTTCTGGTGTACCACACAAAGTAGTACCTATACTATGGCATACAATTCAAGGAACAAAACAACAAGTCCAGATTCAGAAAGCAAACCGATATACCGAGATAGTAATAAGGAATCGACTCAAGAGACGGAATCAAAGACARATCAAGATCGTGTGACTCCATTCAAGACCAAAAACATTCATATGAAAATATATATATGTTCAAATCAATATATAACAATTAACTACATAACTCACCGGGCAACCGTATAATACCGAAAAGCTCTGAATGAGCTCACAAAGCAAGTCAAATCTACCACACTTAGATTGCTTCCAAAGTATCAAAACATGTCCTAATTACCCCTTGGAGTAAATGTACAAAATCTCATAAGCAATCAATATAAGAAACTCATGATATACACATATCATATTTGAACATTTTACCTAAATTTCTATGTACAGCTGTTGCATGCAGAATTGTTTTGGCCATTTTAAGCTCGAAATCATGCCTTGATCATAAAATAAGAAATAAACTAGACTCAAATATCTAACTAAGGAAATTGGCTTCACCTCATTTGGATTTTTCTACGAGTTTATACAGATTTTCAAAGTCTGCACACTTTCAATGCATTCAAAAGTCGAAAATTCTCATTTTCATACATTTTCCTCAAACCATTTCGATTCCAAACCATTCCAACTTCTGAATCTCAACTTAATATAACATA